TCATCTATATGCTCTCTTGAAAGCCATGAAGTACCTCTATGCATCTAACTTATGATAACCATTTCTTATGGTAAATATAAGAAATTGCACTTGCTTACACAGCAGCACTGTTGATTAACCAGCTTCCATATTCTGGAAACGTCGTCTTTAGTTGGCTTCCATCCCTGGTCCGTCCCCAAGCACTCATGTGGTCTGTCTCCTCTAAACTCAAACATTAGTGCTTCCTAGAGTCCAGCCACGCTTTAGCACCCTGCCTTCTCTTCTCTAGCAATTCCATCTCTACTTCTAGTTCCACCTATAACTACCATTTATTTTGACAATGCAATTGCCTTCTTTTTCCCCAGAAATTAGCTCCGCACCATTGTTCTCTTCTCCTAGATCTTTACACAACTCTATGTCACTCCTCTTTAAAATTTTCTGTTCCTCTCTCTCCATTGCCTACCAAATTAAAGTTAAACCCCTGGATTTCAGTCTAGCATTCAAATTTCTACGTAATTTTGACCCAATCTACTGTTTCATCCTCTTTTTCCTGTGTGACTCAGTTCTTAACGTCACACATTTTCTCGTACTGTTCTAAGCACCTGGAGCAGTTCGCATCTGATCTGAACACTCAGTGTCCAGCGGAATCCTAGGTGGACGTGAATATGAGCCAGCAAACCGCGAGTGAGCCCTGACTGGATGGTGCATGTGGTGACCTTGTGAACAAGTCAATAAAGGAGGAAATACTCCGCTTGCGCGGAATCCCTCCACTAGCTCTGCCTCTCCTTCCAGTTCTGTTCTGAACAGTCCGACTCAGCAAGTTTCTCTACAGCTCAGCACAATTTTCTGTGTTTTTGTTTTTCTTTTTCTTTTTTTGTACCCAGAATCAAGCTCACAACCTCACAGGCGCTGTGCCATTGAGTTATATGCCCTGGTTTTTTCCTGCTTTTGTTACTTCTACAGATGATATTGCTTCTAGGCCATTGCCTCTCAACAGTTTTTATTCCTGTTGTATGATGATACAAATATCTAAGTTCACAGGCCGGGGAGATGGCTCAGTGGAATAAGTGCTTCCCTGGTAAGCACAAGGGCCTGAGTTCAATACCTGGTTCCGCAAAAAAAAAAAAAAAAAAAAATCTAAGTTCTCAGCAGATTATGGGTCTTGGCTCTTGAGCAAATCCAACCATGTTTTGAAGGAAAGGCATGGAAAAGCATTCACTAAGATGGGGAGACTGGATAACTGCACCTCAATGGTGTTCAGGGGTGTGGATCTCTTCAAGTGATGGAACAAAGCATGAGCCCCGCGAGGCTCACTTAGTGAAACACTAAGGCTACGTCCACTTTCTGTTACTGTATCTGAGATAACCGATGCAGGTGTATTTTGGCTCCTGGTTTTGGAGTTTTGGTTTCCATAGCTCTTAAGTTTGGGGTGGCCTGGCAGAAAGACTCGTTCACATGAACTTCCTTCCTCTTTCAATAAAAATGACCAGGAAGGCATTCACTGACATCAGTTCTCTTCTTGAGCACAAGGAAAAATTACATTCACTTCTTTAAAACCTCTTCCATTAAGTATGCTCCACCCTTTCATTTAGGACAATATAACTGATATGGAATACTTAACACAGTTAAGTACTATTTATCCATTAATATTTTTGTAAAAATGAGTGTCCAGTTTCTGTTAAGGATTGTTCCAAGAAGTGTCTTCACATTTCTAGTAAAACATTTGGCAAAATTCCACTCTGCATTATATCCTTTTAAGTATACATAATATAAATGCTTTAGAAGAACTCTTCCTAGAACACAAAAGAATATTGATCATCTTTTAAAATATGGTCATCTATAAGCTCGTGTTCCAGAAAGATTCATTGCAGTAAGTGTATTCCTATGATCAAAAGAATCAAGGAATCCCTTGAATTTATCTTTTCC